ATAATAATAATAATAATAAAACACTTGGTGAGCGTGGTGAGGTGCAAGCAGATCTCGGTGAGTAGGTGGAGTAGGTGTGAGGGTAGGGGCCCACCTACCCTCTCACTCAACAAACAATTATAATTATAATATAATTAACATAATTATAACATGTTGGAGAAAGAAGATCCCCATCAATTGTGTGAACACTTTTTTTTTTTCTTAAGCTGATTTAAGACACATCCTGAGGTATATTTAGCACGCGGATATGAAAGATAATTGTTACGCAGTTGACCCACAACAAACGAGGCAAGTTTACTGTATGCACATATGAAACAGTCAACAATGTCATTCTCATCAAATATCTTAAGAGACTTACCTAACTCAGCCGGAAGTGAAGAAAACCCATAATGACGAAGATAAATCATTCAAGACCACATACACGACTTGCCTTAACCGTGAGCTGAACTTGGCATTGATACAGCCTCACAAACAGGAGTTAATTACATATATTTGTCTTCATGTGGTACATATGTTGACACAGATGTAGCCTTTAGCAGGTCTTGCTGGAGACTTGTCTTACACTTGACGTAAAATACGCACTGTTAATTCCGAGGCCAGAATGTTGAGCCCGCACCTGTCCTGTAACAGAGAGACAACTTCATTGTTGTTAATTGCATTTTTAGCAACGTATTGCAGACGAGGAGTCACAATAACGTGGCAGAAATATGTTGACCAGACCACACACTAGAAAGTGAGGGGACGACGACGTTTCAGTCCGTCCTGGACCATTCTTGATCGACTTGAGAATGGTCCAGGACGGACCGAAACGTCGTCGTCCCTTCACTGTCTAGTGTGTGGTCTGGTCAACTTAGCAACGTATTATTATTATCTTATTTCCAGGAGGAATTAGACTATGAGAACCTCAACCCAGAAAACCTCATTGACATCGTGGGCGTGGTCACTGACTTCACCGGCATCATTGGCTTAGTGACACGCCCATGGACCGGCACCCTGCCCACCCGCGCCCCCACGCCCTCCACCACACCCATCACCACCACGCCCACCACAGCTGCGCCACTCTCCCCCGCCACACCACCAGACGGCCACATGGTTCACACTCAAACACCAGCAGAAGTCTTAGAGTCTGATCAGGTGTGAATGCTATCGTCCTCTAATTACCTCACTTTAGTTGCTATAACACTTTATTAACCTTAATGTTCCATTATTATCGCAGTTACAAACATGAGTTAGTAAACCATGTTGTAAATCCTTTATTAAGTCCACTCGTGGTTAACAAATTGACTCTTTCTTCCAGTATATTTCAAGCAGATAAATGTGTACAAGATTACGACATTCTATATCTTGACTTAGATAATGTACCTCACAAGACATTCAACAATTACAAGGTTTATGGTAAAGAGGGGGTGGGGGGGGGGGTAGTCTAAGTTGAAATAAGGCGTAGTTATTTACAATGAAAAAGGGTAAACATAAATGGAGTTATAAATTTATTGAGAAACCGCTCTAAGTGGAATCTCTACCAGATTTACAAACATGATCAAACAGTAATATTATCGTGAAATCAATTTAGAACATTCAAATTCACTATAAGATGATTTAAATAGGCTTTGCAAAGTGGACGAGGACTGCCAGCTGGAGTTTAACGCTGACAATCCTAGGGTCGTGACCCTAGATAATGATCCTAGAATGACTATACATATAAACTGAACATTCTTCAAACTGCCAAATCCGAATGCGAAAAATATCTGGAAGTCCTGATTAGTGGGGAACTAAGACCCAGAAATCACTGCAAAAATGTTGTAAATAAGTCAAACAGGACACTGGGTGTCATACTGAAGTCATACTGTGAACCACACTGAGTTATACTGGGAGTCATACTCGAAGTTATACTGGGAGTCATACTCGAAGTTATACTGGGAGTCATACTCGAAGTCCCACTTTATCCTGCCCTTGTTGAGCCTTAGGGTGTTCATTGGTGTTCTCCACACTGGGGAATGAACACATCCGCTAGAACACGTAACAGACAAGAATAACAAAGGTTATCCCCGGCTTCAGAAACCTTCCTTATGAAGAGAGATTAAGACAGCTTCATCAGCACTCTCTAGAAAGGCCAAGAGTCAGGAGGGACCTGTAACCCTAGTGCAGAATATATATATATATATATATATATATATATATATATATATATATATATATATATATATATATATATATATATATATGTCGTACCTAGTAGCCAGAACGCACTTCTCAGCCTACTATGCAAGGCCCGATTTGCCTAATAAGCCAAGTTTTCATGAATTAATGTTTTTTCGACTACCTAACCTAACCTAACCTAACGTTTTCGGCTACCTAACCTAACCTAACCTATAAAGATAGGTTAGGTTAGGTTAGGTAGGGTTGGTTAGGTTCGGTCATATATCTACGTTAATTTTAACTCCAATAACAAAAAATTGACTTCATACATAATGAAATGGGTAGCTTTATCATTTCGTAAGAAAAAATTTTGAGAAAACATATTAATTCAGGAAAACTTGGCTTATTAGGCAAATCGGGCCTTGCATAGTAGGCTGAGAAGTGCGTTCTGGCTACTAGGTACGACATATATATATATATATATATATATATATATATATATATATATATATATATATATATATATACACAAAATATAACAAGAAACAATGGATACAAATACAGTATAATAAGTTTCGAATCAGTAAAGACCTGGGTAAATATTTGTGTGGAAAAAGGGTTATTGATTAATAAAACAAATTTACCGGGTTACCTTACCTAGGGTTGATTTCGGGGATCAACGACCTCGCGGCCCGGTCTTTGACCAGGCCTCCGAACATATAGGTATTATGTAATAATAGGGTAATATGGGTAAAATAATAAAAGTAATCTTTAGATTATTTCAAGTGCAGGTTAGACATGCTGGACGTGTGAATGAGTCAGGCTGGGTATAAATAGGAGTTGCTTCGTATAGGTCAAGACGTCTGCTGAAGTTCTCATGTATTCTGGTATTCTTACGGGCCACCTCTTTGTAATATATACCCGTTTGACTGAGTGCTTCAAACCTTTCCATAAATACAGGTTTCCACCTCTTTGTAATATATACACGTTTGACTCAGTTCTTCAAACCTTTCCATAAATACAGGTTTCCACCTCTTTGTAATATATACCCGTTTGACTCAGTGCTTCAAACCTTTCCATAAATACAGGTTTCCACCTCTTTGTAATATATACCCGTTTGACTCAGTGCTTCAAACCTTTCCATAAATACAGATTTCCACGAGAGTATAGCAGGTGGTAGCGATAACAGTCCGGTTGTGGAAGTGTGAACGAAACCTTGACTCTTGACACCTCTTTCTTCTCTCTCCAGACGACGGAGGTGACGGAGAGCTACCACGAGGTGCCCACGGACTTGGAGGAGCCTCCCGTGGTGCCTGATGGGGACCACCAGTCTTCTGCAGTGGTCACCGAAGGCTCAACTCCCCACACTACAACTTCGCAGCGATCACCAACTCCACCTCCGAATGCTCAGACCAACAACGGAGCCGATGATATGAACGTCATCTACCTTCCTCAGTTTCCCTTCCTGAACAGACGTCCTGCAGGAGGAGACACACAAGCTGTTGAGGAAGTACCGGACACGGTGGTTCCTGATGGGAACTCACAGAGAGTACCGCAACCTCCTGCCGACGGCGGCTCTAATGATATGAACGTTATTGTTTTCCCAAAGAATCCTTCCGGGGTGGATAACCAAGCCCTGGAGCAGGCGACGGTGACGACAGTTCCAGACGGAGACTCGAAGACAAGCGCTGTGGAGGATTCCACACAGGTGGTGGAGTCGAACAGCATTCTGGAGGTCCAAGACGGGGGTTCGAGACCGTCGGGGACTGACGGACATGATGCGGGACAAGGAGTTGATGGCAGTGTGGTGGAAACGGTGTCGGGACACGGGAACGCTACTGAATTGCACGTGCCTGGAATGTCGGGCGTGGATGGGCAACAGTCTGGGGTGGTGGGTGTGGGCGGAGTGGTGCCTGGAGTGGGCGGGGAGATGCCTGGAGTGGGCGGGGAGATGCCCGGAGAAGTGGATGTGGGAGGGGAGGAACCTGGGATGGGAGGTGCTGGAGAGAACATCGACTACGACTACTACAGCCAGTACCCAGACCAGCTCCTCCTACAGCCAGTCAATCAAAACATCTGCGGCTTCAAGGGACTCAAAAATTACGTGAGTAATCCTCAAGGTACAGCTATACAGTATTTTTTTCATTTCCCATAAGACACTAAATAAAAAACCCTAACATCCTAAGAAACTTAATTTAGAGGAAGGCTTATTGTATGAGGCTGGTAAATCCAATGGATTCCAGTTTTCCTCTGCCTGGGGGTGTCGAGTTCGCTAATTTCTAACTCTGTTGAAGCCTAAGTCACAATAACGTGACCTAAATAAGCCAACACAATCATATGTGAGGTCAGAGAGAAAGTGTTGCAACTTCACTGTGGAAGGCTAATGACTCAAACTTATATGTAAAGTCTGGCGAGATGAACGTACCAACATCTGCCTAGGAACTGCATACAAATCAAAATGGTCGAGGGAGGACTAAACTAGATACGAAAGCTATATTCTACACAAGGGGGGAAAGAGACTTCTTTAGTTGAGAAACCTCGTAAGTGATTAATATTTTGAGACTGAAGAAAATGAACAACTCTTTGAAGACACTCGAGGCAATCACTGATATGTGATTTCCAGGACAAATTAAATTTGAGTTAGGGGTTGTTAACTAAAAGAGTAGGGAAGACATAAGGGAGTATATACATACATACTTTCCTCAGGTGTAATAACTTTCATATTCCCATTGCTAGCCTTGTAAGAGGAGCCAGCAGGCGCCCCACGTTAGTACTGAGTGTCGCCACGAAGAAACTGCAGCTTGCTTTTAATAATAGACTACTGTTGGCAGGACCCGCAGCCGTCGAGCAGCAGGATCCTGGGGGGACTGGTGGCGTCGACGATCGAGTGGTGCTGGGTGGCAGCCATCATGGAGCGTCGACAGGGCGGCGACAAATACGTGTGTTCCGGCGCCCTTGTCGAGTCCAATCTGGTTATATCGACAGCAACTTGTCTCAAGAGGTCAGACTCCCTCCTGCCCTCCCTCCCGTCTACACTAAGACAAGAGCTTACAAGCATTTGCAACATGTTCCAAAATAAATACTGTAAACCCAAGATCTGTTAACCTAGAAATCTATTTAATAAGTTGATTTACATTATTGGCTAAAGGTGTATACTTTATACAACTGACGAACAATATAACTTAACCACAATTCTCAGCTACAACCACCGCTCACAAGGGTTATCTCCTCAACCCGTTTGCAATGTGGGTTATTAAACATAAGTCATTATTAATCACATTATTAATCACATAACATAATCACATTATGTTAGATTGATAAAACTGACAGTTCATTGTTGAGAAATGTGTTAACAAACAATATATCTGACTTATCAAGACTGTAGCTTGCTTAGCAAAAGGAACTTTATTAAAAGATCTATTCTTTTAATTAAAAGATTTATTAAAAGATCTATTCTTTTAATTAAAAGATTTATTAAAAGAACTATTCTATTATTCTACACTCACAACTTGCCCATAACATAACAATGTATGTCCCTGTAGTCTGGTTTTCCCCGTTATATAGAGTCATACCTGTGATCATGTATATTAAGCAATGACTAACCTGCAGGCTGGACACCCGGGACCTGACTCGATACCTGGTGGTGCTGGGGGACAGTAACCTCAGGGAAGACCTTCCCTATGGCATCCAATTCCACTCCCTGGCCGAGGTCGACACACACCCCGACTACTTCACCTCTGGAGGCGCCCACGCCAATGACATAGGTGAGTGCCAGAGACAAGACATCCGTCTGTGTTCCATCCCTGACCGGGGAGGATTGACTGGGCAGCAATCCAGTTCGTCCCTCTTAACAATAATTGGTGATCTGGTTGTAAAGAACAGCCAGAACAACAAAGGCTACTCAGAACAAAAAGTTCCAAGCAGCACGGGCTATGGTGAGCCCCGTAGTGGACTTACCTGGCACGGGAGATGTGCGCGTGTTCACTTGTTAATGTTAGACCAAGGAGGAAGGGGTATAGGAAAGAGCCGGTACAAAGCAATGAAGATAAAATAAGCTAAGGTGACTATGAATGTAGCAGAGCAGGCAGACATGGACGTATGGTGGGCCAGCTGGTAAGGGCGAGGTTTTATATGATTGAACACATTATTAACATTTGAAGGTTAAACAGGATAAACCTTACCTCTAGGAATGTAACAGAGTATAAGGATACTCAGGTTTGGAAGTGGTGGGAGGGCATCCTGAGAGGATGTTGACCAGACCACGCACTAGAAGGTGAAGAGACGACGACGTTTCGGTCCATCCTGGACCATTCTCAAGTCACAATCGACTTGAGAATGGTCCAGGACGGACCGAAATGTCGTCGTCCCTTCACCTTCTAATGCGTGGTGTGGTCAACATACTTCAGCCACGTTATTGTGACTCCTCGTCTGCATCCTGGGAGAGGACAAGCCCAGCCAGGTCCCGCGGTGCCTCACTGACGCCCAGGAACCCAACACCGTCAACACGCCCTTGTATCACCGCTCTGTAAATGGTTCTTTGACATTATCTACCACAAATTACCTACATTTGTGTATATTAGAAATATAAAGAAAGACTTGACACTGACATTTAATATAAGTCCAATAAATATATATAATGAGAAATATGCAAAATAGTGTTTACAAATAAAGAAATAAGGTGAGTGGTAGAGGTGGTGGAGGTCCCCCTGCACCAGATACATCTGATGACGTCTCTCCATGAAGGAACGTCTCCGTAGACGCCAGAGACGCTCCACAAGCATAATAACTAACTATACAGTGAGAGAAAATAAGGCTGTACGAACCTAACCAAAAATAACAATCACTCAAAATAGAGGAGTACAGCTGTGCTTGATATACTGAGTACCTTATACGTGGAGTTACAGTTACTTCAAGTTTTGTATTTTTCCATTATAACCTGTAACTGGTTACAGGTTATACCAGTTGTTACTGGTCATAAACTATGTATTTAAAATATAGTATTATATTTCAGTTCGACTACAACATGTGTCATAGGCATTCCAAATAATTTTGTATCAAGACATCATTACATGAACAAAATATTAAGCAATCATTAAATTTTAAATATAGGCTTGGGGGGGGGGGTCAACACCCCCCTCCCCCCGTGACCCAAGGGGAGTCAGAGGTCACGAGGATTAGGCCTATTCACTGAGGTTATTGTGTAATTGAGGAATATTGTTCATTAAGTCTATATAAGTTTTTCGAATTAGCAGATATGTTATTTTAATCAAGTGTTTTCTTACTCATGTGTGGTAACAGATATTGTGTTAAACGGGTGTGGTAACAGGTGTTCTGTTACACAGGTGTGGAAGCAATAGGTGGTGTGTTACACAGGTGTGGGAACAGCTGCTGTGTTACACAGCTGAAGTAGCACTGCAGTGTTACCTGTTGCTGCCACACCTGTGGGGAACATGTGGTGTGTGTTACACAGGTGTGTGATAAGAGGTCATGTGTTACACAGGTGTGTGTTAGCTAAGAGGTGGCGTGTTACACAGGTGTGTGATAAGAGGTGGGGTGTTACACAGGTGTATGATAAGAGGTGGCGTGTTACACAGGTGTATGATAAGAGGTGGGGTGTTACACAGGTGTGTGATAAGAGGTGATGTATCCACAGGTATAGTACGGCTGGCGGGTCAGGCCACACTGAGTGACAACGTGTGTCTGGTGTGTATGGCCCAGCAGGACGCCATCTTCCCCGCCCACACCTGCACTGTCACAGGCTACGGCATCGGGCACGTCCCACACACCATGATAACAGGTCAGTACAGGTCACATGGCATGATAGCAGGTCATTACTGCCACAGAACATATTTACAGGTCAGTATACAGTCCTCATTAACCCCTAAAACATTACAGAACATTACAGGTTATTGACTAGTTATTACAACTTGATTGCCGGTCAATACACCTCAATTCTGTACCAATAACATGATTACAGGTCAATATTTCTCATTACGTTCCTCATAAAATAAGAACAGGGCCATAATTGTATGAGTGTAGGTCAGTACTGCAGGTCATTATCGACAAAAATAATAATATTGCTGTTCATTAGTTTCCTAGATTCGTGGTAATATTACTGGTCAACACAGTCTCCTAGATTTGTAGTAATTAGGCCTAAGATGGCGTATATTAAGCCTAGAATGAGTTATTTAGGCCTAAAGTAGATTAAGGTAGGTTCATTGTTACTGTTCCACTCTTTGGCGAGGCTTTTTATATAATATTTCAACAGTACTCAACGTGAACGTCTTTGGTCGGTATAAAAGTTCATAATGTGTACATTTCATCCGTAGTAGCTCCATGTTCTATAATTGCTTCTGGATGATTTGATATAATAAATATATTATATACAGCATCAGAAAACAGCTAACAAGTACAAGACCCATTGAACCATTGCTCCCCTGACAGGCGTAAAAGAAATTTTTCAACAAAAAGAGATGTTGCAAAAAAATCATTTATGTCCTAAAATGATAGTACTTATAGTACCTATTTGGTACCAGTCTGTAGTGATGGAACACTAAAAAGTTCACTTATGTACTTAAATTTTATAGATCGGAAAAATAAATCTAGAAACCTAATCAGAAAAATAAATCTAGAAACCTAACATAAAACATTCCTAGGTCTAATTCACTGCGTGTATATATATTATATTAGGCGTATGATATTGCGTAGTTAGGCCTATGATTGCTAGGATACAGGTAAAGTTATATATTTGTTTAAATTATTTCAACTTGTCAGGAAGATCTAACCAAATGTGACATTTATAATTCTTTGAAGAATTTGTATGAAATCTCTACATATATAATTATTCATATTTATTTTTACATATTTTTACAAAATTCTCATAATATACATTTAAAAATGAAAACATATAAGCCATAATATACCGCATGTGGTCTATGTCCTCGACTGTGAATCGAGCGTCCCGGGTTCGATCCCAGGACGGAACCATTATAGTATGTGATTTAGATGCGCCATAACGAAGCTCGTTGTCGTGGCAGACGTGCGAGATGTGGTGCCATCAGATGGAGTCCTCCGTCAGCTGTCAGTGCCGCTGTTGAAGAAGGCAGAGTGCCGCACAGCTCTACACAACGTGACGGGGTCCACCATGCTGGCCTCCTCAGACTCCTTCCTCTGTGCCGGTGGCATGGACCAAACCTCCGCGTGTTACGTGAGTTACTTCTAATCTACTTCTACTACTTCTAATTTTAAAACCTACTCTGTGGTATGTAAATGTCTACATTTCTTCTCTTAGTTGCAAGTTTTGCGGCTTCGTCTGCAATGTCATTTCCTGTTATTCCCACATGACTTGGCACCCAGTTGATAAGTACCCGTCGGCCTTGTGAGTCATTTAGTTGCCTTCACGAAATAGTTTTATTACTGTGAATTATTAGCTACGATTCTTCTTCTCTTTATATTATATGCATAAAATGTGCTATCTGGTATATTGAAGAAAATTCAGAAACATTCAGGTTTCGTTACTTTTTGTCAATATATTCATGATAGACGAATTATATAGTGCCTGAGTCGATGGTTATCATACAATGTGTGTTTTATCACTCAGAATGTTCGGTAATATGTAATTGTTATGTGTCTATTTATGTTCGAACACGTTGTACTGAACGGGGTGAGGATAGCTTGAGCTACCTCATCCCTTTGTGTGTATTTTACCTCAATAAACATATTACAATTTCAACGTGTGTTCCCTCAGAGCACCATGGATGGAGGTTCCCCGCTAGCCTGCGAGGCCGGGGGTCGATGGTTCGTGGCGGGGCTGGTCTCCTGGTCGAAGGACTGCACGCAAGCCGGGACCCCCAACGTGTACACGCGGGTCTCCTCCTACACCAACTGGCTCCAGGCCACCTACCTCCGCATGCTGGGCTTCCTCACGCCCCATGCCTTCACCAGCAAGCAGCGCTGGATGTATCAACACCTCTACAACATCAACAAGGAGTTTGCCTGATGGGTCTACCTCATTCCTCAACATAGTTATCATATGCAGGCGAGGAGTCACAATAACTAGAAAGTGAAGGGACGACGACGTTTCGGTCCGTCCTGGACCATTCTCAAGTCGATTGTGTCTTGAGTCGACAATCGACTTGAGAATGGTCCAAGACGGACCGAAACGTCGTCGTCCCTTCACTTTCTAGTGTGTGGTCTGGTCAACAGTTATCATATCTCATTGTATCAACATCATCACATCATTATGGAGATCTCTTCATGTTCCTGCCTTTTCCCAAGAATGTATTAGTACATCTACACCTCTACAACTTCATTAAATATGATGTATATTGGTGTTAATTCTCTCTACTAGGGCATTCTGTAATTATTATTTATAATTCTGCTTTGAAAGTCATTACTTCTTAAGAGATTCAAGTCACATTGTCTACCAGACGGTTCGCCCACGGATTTTAAAGCCTACCTAACACAATGCAAAAATAAATAAACCTAACCTAACCCAACCGAGCCTGGCAATAGCCTAACCTAAGCCAACACAGCCTAACCGAACCATGTATATGATTTAAACAAATGAAAAACGCATTTTATCGAACCGTCTTGTAAACGATTGGAGCATAACTGCTTTTCAATGATCATTTTTGCTACACCTATTTGCTTCAAAAGAGCTACATAACCTTGTAAAAATATTTATCAGTTACGTTATTAGAAGTCAACATCATAGCCGCCTGAGTTGTAAGTCAGCCCGTGTTATATTACCAAATATCAAAATACATATGTATTCTGTGATTATATCCGTGATGAAGCTGAATAATACAGTATTACATGTAAGGACCTCATGAGGTGACGTAGTGCACACATCTATATTTCGTTGTGTTAATTATATGGTAATAATTGTGTGTAGACTCATCAGTAAGATGTTTACACACACGCCAAAGTTCAGTGCCTTGCCGCTAGGTGGGACTTCAGGCATCTAACATTAGTGGATTTATAGTGTGAAATAAAGTGCGAGCAATGGGATACTTGAGAACTAATTAGACATCATCAAGACACCAGAGAGGCTTGTGGCGTGGAGACGGGCCAAGCAACAGGTATGCAGACGGCCAAGCAACAGGCGTGGAGACGGGCCAAGCAACAGGCGTGGAGACGGGCCAAGCAACAGGTATGCAGACGGCCAAGCAACAGGCGTGGAGACGGGCCAAGCAACAGGCGTGGAGACGGGCCAAGCAACAGGCGTGGAGACGGGCCAAGCAACAGCCGTGGAGACGGCCAAGCAACAGGCGTGGAGACGGGCCAAGCAACAGGTGTGGAGACGGGCCAAGCAACAGGCGTGGAGACGGGCCAAGCAACAGGCGTGGAGACGGGCCAAGCAACAGGCGTGGAGACGGGCCAAGCAACAGGCGTGGAGACGGGCCAAGCAACAGGCGTGGAGACGGGCCAAGCAACAGGTGTGGAGACGGGCCAAGCAACAGGCGTGGAGACGGGCCAAGCAACAGCCGTGGAGACGGGCCAAGCAACAGGCGTGGAGACGGGCCAAGCAACAGCCGTGGAGACGGGCCAAGCAACAGGCGTGGAGACGGGCCAAGCAACAGGCGTGGAGACGGCCAAGCAACAGGCGTGGAGACGGGCCAAGCAACAGGCGTGGAGACGGGCCAAGCAACAGGCGTGGAGACGGGCTAAGCAACAGGCGTGGAGACGGGCTAAGCAACAGGCGTGGAGACGGGCCAAGCAACAGGCGTGGAGACGGGCTAAGCAACAGGCGTGGAGACGGGCCAAGCAACAGGCGTGGAGACGGGCTAAGCAACAGGCGTGGAGACGGGCCAAGCAACAGGCGTGGAGACGGGCTAAGCAACAGCCGTGGAGACGGGCCAAGCAACAGGTGTGGAGACGGGCCAAGCAACAGGCGTGGAGACGGGCCAAGCAACAGGCGTGGAGACGGGCCAAGCAACAGGCGTGGAGACGGGCTAAGCAACAGCCGTGGAGACGGGCCAAGCAACAGGTGTGGAGACGGGCCAAGCAACAGGCGTGGAGACGGGCCAAGCAACAGCCGTGGAGACGGGCCAAGCAACAGGCGTGGAGACGGGCCAAGCAACAGCCGTGGAGACGGGCCAAGCAACAGGCGTGGAGACGGGCCAAGCAACAGCCGTGGAGACGGGCCAAGCAACAGGCGTGGAGACGGGCCAAGCAACAGGTGTGGAGACGGGCCAAGCAACAGCCGAGGAGACGGGCCAAGCAACAGGTGTGGAGACGGGCCAAGCAACAGGTGTGGAGACGGGCCAAGCAACAGGTGTGGAGACGGGCCAAGCAACAGGCGTGGAGACGGGCCAAGCAACAGCCGTGGAGACGGGCCAAGCAACAGGTGTGGAGACGGGCCAAGCAACAGCCGAGGAGACGGGCCAAGCTACAGCCGAGGAGACGGGCCAAGCAACAGCCGTGGAGACGGGCCAAGCAACAGGCGTGGAGACGGGCCAAGCAACAGGCGTGGAGACGGGCCAAGCAACAGGTGTGGAGACGGGCCAAGCAACAGCCGTGGAGACGGGCCAAGCAAAAGCACAAACTTTGAAGATCAGTAACAGCAGTCACAGGAGGACAAGACTCCAACATGACCACAACCCTTCCCAACACACACACTTCTGAAATATTAATGACACGAGAACATAAGGATGAAGGTAACTGCAGAAGGCCTACTGGCCCATACGATGCAGCTCCTATTTATATCCACCCAATCTCATTCATATATATGTCTAACCTACGCTTGAAACAGTCAACGGATCCAACTTCTATTATGTTACGCGGTAATTGGTAATTGGCCAATAGGCCTTAACTGCGTCTGTAGGCTGGTTCTACAGTATACTGCACCTATAGTATGCTACATCTGTAGTATACTGCACCTGAAGTATGCTACAGCAAGAAATATACTGCTTTTGCAGGTTGTATAATGAACATTTTGATTTCATTTCAAGACGTTTTAAAGAGGTATTTTATGAAGTTTTTTTGCATAATGTGTTGTATGACTATCGTGTTCCATCGCTGTATTTGATACAGTCTAGTGATTGTTGTATATTTATAAACTCATTAATTAATAACACACATTACAAGATATTAATTATTAGTTTTTGCTTGTTGTATTTATCTGATCTGTTTTTGTTGTGTATATATATATGTTGTCCTATGTTGTTGACTGTTTGTGTGGCTTGTTTGTTGACTGTTTGTGTGGCTTGTTGACTGTTTGTGTGGCTTGTTTGTTGACTGTTTGTGTGGCTTGTTGACTGTTTGTGTGGCTTGTTTGTTGACTGTTTGTGTGGCTTGTTTGTTGACTGTTTGTGTGGCTTGTTGACTTTTGTGTGGCTGTTTGTTGACTGTTTGTGTTGTTGACTGTTTGTGTGGCTTGTTTGTTGACTGTTTGTGTGGCTTGTTTGTTGACTGTTTGTGTGGCTTGTTTGTTGACTGTTTGTGTGGCTTGTTTGTTGACTGTTTGTGTGGCTTGTTTGTTGACTGTTTGTGTGGCTTGTTTGTTGACTGTTTGTGTGGCTTGTTTGTTGACTTTGTGAGCCTTGTTGACTGTTTGTGTGGCTTGTTTGTTGACTGTTGTGGCTTTTTGTTGACTGTTGGCTTGTTTGTTGACTGTTGTGTTGTTGTTTGTTGATTGTTTGTTGGCTTGTTTGTTGACTTTGTGAGCCTTGTGAGCTCTGGCATGATTGTGCTCAGTTTTGATTGTGAGTTGTTTATTGTGAGCTCTGCTGATTGTAAAGTGTTTATTGTGAACTTTTTGTGTGCTCTTCATTGTAAACTATTTATTGATAACTTTGTTGATTGTATGTTCTGTTAATTGTAAACTGTTTTATATATTTGTTTATTGTAATCTGTGATCCGATTTGTTTATTGATTATTTGTTTATAATAAACAATGATTTGTTATTGCTGTGTGATCCGTTGATTGTAAGCTGTTTATTGTAAAAATTTTAATTGTGTGCTCTGTTCATTCTGTTATTGTGAATTGTGTTGTGTGCCGTGTTGATTGTGAGGTTGATTCCTTGTTCGTGTGTGGGGGTCTTAATATATTATCTTGTAACCTTGTTTTGTTATCTGTAATTACGCCACCAATTGTATTTTTGCTGTGTATTATTTATTTATTATCAATAAATGCGAATAAAACATGTAATGTCTTACTGGGGCGTGAGAGGGAGCCATTCTTACTCCTCAAACTAACACTATACTCTCATCATATATATGTCATGTCCTCCAGTACAATATATTTTCCAAAACTAAATGGTTGATGAGATTGAGGGATGCGGGTTACCTTGGAGGCTGCCGAGGCAAGGTTCCCTTAGTTAAATGAACCTACAAGGGCCGTGATGAGGGTTCGAATCTACGTCCGGTATGATCCTAAATGCGCCTTTAGTCGATTGCGAAACGACACGGTCAAAAGAATTCTGGATTTGGTCATTTGATGTATCACGTTATTGTGATTTCTCTGTGTGTATTTCCTTAGTTACTTTACTAACAACGGCTGAAATATGTCATTATCAACAAGAGGCAGCAACCTGGGAGGACAATTGTTGAAATAAGTTGCTGCAAATGCAGGCGATGAGTCACAATAACGTGGTTAAAGTATGTTGACCAGACCACACACTAGAAGATGAAGGGACGACGACGTTTCGGTCCGTCCTGGACCATTCTCAAGTCGATTGTGATTCTCATCCTCACAATCGACTTAAGAATGGTCCAGGACGGACAGAAACGTCGTCGTCCCTTCACCTTCTAGTGTGTGGTCTGGTCAACAAAGTTGCTGCAAAATATCTTAAATTATTGCTAAGGTAAGAAGCTGTGAGTTGTCTGAACCTTGACATTTTCACAGATCTCACCCACAGACAAGAGCCGACGAACCTCACTCTCTGGAAGCATCGTTAAGGTCGAGGTGACAACAAACAACAGAGAAATAAACAAATCCACAAGGGGCCGTGTTGAGGGTTCGAACCTACATCCGAGAATGATCCCAGACACGCCTCAATCGATTGGGCCACGACATAGTCAAAAGAATTGCAACCGGGAGTTCATTTGATGCATCACGCTATTGTGATGTCTGTGTGTAACAGAGAAATACATCAGTAATTGTCATGGATGCTGGCTGCCGTCGAGTACATTAACATAGTTAAGTAACAATTATGACCAATATGACCTACACAATACCCAAACCTCGACTTGGGGAGCTCGCAAACTTGACGGAATTGACAAAAGGTTAAAAACGTCGTTGTCCGGTGTCTTTGTTTGATGTCTTTGTGGCAGGTCCTCGCAGGCGGCCTTCTGGCCCGCCCTCCAGGACCCGCCTTCAGGGCCAGCCCTCCACGGCCCGCATTTACTCTGGATGTCAAAGTGCACCTCTTTCACTCGGGATACACATCACTGCCACTATTGTAACCACAAAGGGCGAGTTTATTGGGCAGCGTCACTTATCCTGCGAGTTAACATACATAGCAGCGTATACAACACTCCCCAATAAGAAAAATCCCACTCCGTTGTTTATTCTGTGAATAAACTTACAACACTTCCCAATAGGAAGAAAACCCGCCGGGTTGTTCATCTTGTAACTTGCACCCAGATGGGACTTATCTGTCTCAAGTGGACAGATCGTTATTTAAAGACATTAACATTTACCAACCCTTAAACTTACATGATCTTCCAGGTACAAAGAGAGAAAATCCTTTAAGAGCAATATCAATATTTGACAGTGTTTTCCTAAGTCAAACAAGGTAGGATTTTGTATATTAACATATTTACGATGTCTATGATGGTCACACTCTCAGAGGTCCAGGCACTGTTAATTTCCCGCTTTGCAGATTCTGCAAGTTCTTAGCTGTCATAAGTGCAGATAATAAGCAAATGGAATAAGGAGGAAGACGAGATGGCACAAGTCACTTACACTCACAGTCTCAAGAAGCACAACAGAATACTAGAACGTCGAGAGGCATATATATCAATGCATGACCATAATAGCAATGAGCTGGGACCCAAGAACTAGAATCTGCTCCCTGTAGACAGTGAGTTAAGTGCATACAAACATCCATCAACAGATCATATTACATCACCACATTTCCCGATTCTTTTTTTCCTAGGAGAAAGTCACCCTTCCCCCAGCGAGGGAGGTCAGAGAGGATGGTCAACGCCACACTCTAGGCCACCAACTAGGCATTAACCAATAACGTGGCTAAAGTTGACCAGACCACACACTAGAAGGTGAAGGGACGACGACGTTTCGGTCCGTCCTGGACCATTCTCAATTGAGAATGGTCCAGGACGGACCGAAACGTCGTCGTCCCTTCACCTTCTAGTGTGTGGTCTGGTCAACTAGGCATTAACCCTTATACTGCTATAACAGATTATTTGCTCCAATCCCTTCTGGAATTCTCGAAATCTCGAGAAGTCGAAGTCTCGACTTCCTCCTTTGCTCCAATTCCTCTAAGTCATTTTATACCATTTAATTTGCTATCTTTATTCACGCGCACATCAATCTTTCACATTTAAACAGCTCCGCAGTTCAGGGGTTAACATCAACCGTGCAACTTGCATATTAATATGTAAATTAAATCACTCAAATCTAATCACATCTAAACTTTCTGTTCGATATTTATCATGGAGAAGTGCGTGACGTTTGTTACACGGGCGGCGGCGGTCTACAGGACCGACCTCCAGCACCTCCCAACCTCCAGTGGGGCCCCAACACAGGTCCAGCGTCACCGCCAGCACCGAATTCACGTCCAGACACTGAATTCAATTTTTCTTTATTATGCACCCTATACCCATCCCTCGGGCGGTGGTGTAAAGGGTTACAGAGGCACATAATAGGTTCAGGAACTGAACTCTCTAGTCCGTTTAGCTAATAACAATCTTTTGAGGCTAGTTACACAATTATTAATGTTATATAGTTTGTGTGGTTCAGTTTTGATTCCCTCTTTGAGACTATCTTCTTGAGGTTATCTTGAGATGATTTCGGGGCTTTAGTGTCCCCGCGGCCCGGTCCTCGACCAGGCCTCCACCCCCAGGAAGCAGCCCGTGACAGCTGACTAACACCCAGGTACCTATTTTACTGCTAGGTAACAGGGGCATAGTGTGAAAGAAACTCTGCCCATTGTTTCTCGCCGGCGCCCGGGATCGGACCCGGGACCACAGGATCACAAGTCCAGTGTGCTGTCCGCTCGGCCGACCGGCTCCCATATATATACATGTACACAGACTGCAGGGTGAGCAAAATGGTGAGAGGTGGGAGAGAGGGCGTGAGGGGGTGGGTAAGAGGGCATGAGTGGTGAGGGAGAGAGTGAAGTATGAGTAAGAGACGGGAGAGGCAGTGAAAGGTGACGGGGAAGAGGAGGGTGACGGAGGGGAGTGAGGTGAATGGAGGATGTGGTAGAGGAAGTTCCACTCATCCACCACAATCACCAAAACTCATCTCAAATATCTATCTATCCTTCACGTATCGATATTTAACGTCATGTCCAAACAACAGATACAACAATGGCGGAAAACGAGCTTAAGCGGAGAACAAAATCAAGACAATTACTAATGGTAT